TCCTGTCGCTTTCTACCTGCCTCCTTCCTGTCATCCCCTTGAAGGTCCTTTATCCTCTGGTTTCTGGCAGTGGATATCCTTTCCCTTTCTCAAGGCTTTCTGCCTTTGGCTTTGTTCCTCTGGCCCACTCCCTGCACAGCTCTCCCTGGACACCAAGACAAATTCAAACACAGCTGTATCCCAACTGTCAGACCTGAGCTCCTCTACCTCGTTCCCATTGAGGGCAACAGGCTCTGGGTGTCCCCTGTTCCACTGAAATTCAGCCATTATTTTCCCCTGGAACTGTTGTGTCTTTCTGCAATGGTCTGAGGTCCATCTTCCCTTTGGCCTAGGAGCTCTGAGAGGAGGAACTATCTGTGATTTATCTGTGGGTCCTGGGGCCAGCTGGAGGTGGGGACAGATGGGGATGGGGGCCTGCTGAGCACTTCCCGAGTTTTTCACTACACCACCTCATGCGACCCGGTGTGCACTCAGGGCAGAACACAAGCCTGTGTGTAGAGCAGGAGTTGGCCCCGCTCGGGCTGCCTGTGCCCTACTCGGGAGCCCAGGCTACCCTGGCTCCTAGTGACCACCCCATTCCCACTTTGTCTTCCAGTGGAACGTGACCGTACCCTGGGCCACCAGGAGCCACACTGGAAGGAATTCCACTTTGACTTGACCCAAATCCCTACTGGGGAGGCAGTCACAGCCGCTGAGTTCCGCATATATAAAGAGTCCAGCACCCGCCTGCTCAACAGCACCCTCCATGTCAGCATGTTTGAGGTGGTCCAGGAGCACTCCAACAGGTGCCTTCCCTCAGCTTAGGTGCCCACCCCACCTCAGAGTCTCATAGTCAAGGCTCTGGCAGGGGTCCTGTTCAGTCTGGATATGGGGTTGCATTTCCAAGAGAAGAAAGGGGAGCATCATAAGAGAGATGCCTCAGATATGGGAAAGAGGCTTGGTCAGGAACTCCCTTCCCTGCCATGGTGTCTGTGGGGCCCTGGATAGACCCCAGATCACTGAGCCAGCTTCCCCAGCAGCAGATGGACACAATAACACGTTCGGGCGGGGGGATTATCAGTGAAATGTGGCACTGAAGGAGCCCAGCCCGGAGCCAGGTAGGGAAGATGCTCTGAAAGTAGATCCCTAGGCAGGAAGGGATACAGGCAGCCTTGCAGACCTCGGCCCACGTGGTTGTTTTTTCGTGTCCACAGGGAGTCTGACTTGTTGTTTTTGGATCTTCAGACGCTCCAAGCTGGGGACGAGGGCTGGCTGGTGCTGGACATCACAGCAGCCGGTGACCACTGGTTGTTGAACCATAACAAGGACCTGGGACTCCGCCTCTATTT